GTTAAACAAAAAGCCAACTTCTTTGAAACAAATCACTATTTTTTTAAGTTTGAAGACAAATTTATTGTAGTTTTTGTTTTAAGTTGCCTTATGTCTTCATAATCCTACGCTCAACACTGAATGCTTGTGTCTTCAAAATTGTCTTAGTGTTTTTTCTTCATCAATACAATAACTTTTCATTGTTTTTCTCTCTTTTTAGTTTTTTTTTCATGCCTAGTCTCATTTATTTTCCAAAAGGTAGTTTCTAACTCATCATTCAGTGCATCAAAATACATTTCATATTTGGTTTGTGCATCAATATAGTATGGTTTAGCGATATAGTCGATTTTTTGTCAACTTTTTTCATTCGAAATTTTGTTTGAAAAAAAATTCAGCTATTGTAGGTGTTGTGTGATATACAAACGAACCAAGTAAATCGGTTTTTTTCTATATCAAGATTTTTTTTTTTGAATACCAACATACACTAGATAAAATTTATAAGAGGTTAGTATGAAGGGTGATTTAGGCTACTAGCCATATTGGACTTAAAAAAGAAGAAAATAGCTATGCTAATTGACATATTAAATAAGTAACCCATTTGAGAGGTTGGATTGTGGACTTTGGCTCTCACGAAAATCTTTTCACTGCTTAATGAAGCCACATGTGCCTCCGCTATCCAAACAATATCATAAAGAAACAATTATTTTGAATTTTTTATATACCAACGCAACTAAACGCAACATGTATAGTGTGAGACTGTGAGACATATTGTTTTCTATTCTATCTCAGTATGTTCTTCTTTTTTTTTTGGTTCAGTATGTTCTCAGTAGAATAAAATAAATATCTCAGTATGTTCTAAGTAAAAAAAAAAAATCTCAGTATGTTCTATGTAGAATAAAATAATTTACTTCATCTTATTTTATTTTCAAATTATCTTTCAACATAAATGAAATAAAATCTTATGATTATATTAAAGTACACATATTTTTTTCGTCTAACATAACTCAAATTTTTTTAGAACAGACATACATTTTTAAAAATTCTGAACTATATTTTAATAAAAAAATAATTAACCATTGGAATAGAATAGAAAAAACTCAAAATTTAACTGGTTTAGAAAAATAAGTTATGTAGTTACCTCATCAGTTATTCTATATAGACCGAAGG